GCCTGAACCTACAATGCATCTCAAGGGCAGTGTGAGGGGCTGGGTGGGAGCAGAGCTCCTTGAGCATCTAAGGGAACAACACCAACACTGGCATCAAGTTCCTCAAGTCCCTTCCCTTGGCAATCTGCAGCCTCAAGGTGGGTCCTTCCACAAGTCACTCTGCAAGCCACTCTTCCCAGTAGCAGCCCCAGCTGTCCCTGCCCTCCCGCTCCTGAGGGCTGCCCTAGCTTCGGGGACTCCAGAGCACTCAGAGTCTCTGTCCCCTGTCCTCCTCTGCAACTTGGCTTCCAGCAGATCACAGCCTCCTCAAACAAACAAACCCTGGCGGCGGCGGCGGCGGCGGGGGCGGCGGCGGCGGCGGCTCCAGCACAGCTGTGCTCCATGGCGCAAAAGTTTCCTCCACACTTTTCAATGAGCAGAAAAGCTCGCCGACCGGTGCTGAGGCGGCAGCAGAGGAGGGAAAGGCCGAGCCGAACCGGCCGCAGCGATGGCCCCAGAGCTGGATGGATGTGTGTGCATCTGTGTGTCTGCGGGAATGAGGCTGAGGAGCCGGCCACCAATGCCCGGGCTCCGTGCCCACGCCGGACCCCAGCCCTGCAACCTGCCCTGGCAGGACGGCCCGCGAGCGCCGGGAGAGGGGCCGAGCCGCACCGCCTACACCCTCAGCCGCTCTCTGTCCGCGGGGCGCAGGGGCCTCCAGGAGAAGCCCCAGCGCCGCTACTTCCTCCCGTGCCAACAGAGGGGAGTAGTCTGCCCGAGGTGGGGGAGCACGGGCGGCCCCGGAGCCCGCGGGAGTGAGTCTGCTCTCCGGGCTCCAGCCCGGGCCAGCCATGCTCTCGTCCGTGCTCCCGCCGCCCTCAGGGGCTGTCTGTGCCGGGCCGGTGGCAAGAGCCCTCCGTGCTGCTCCTGTCCCTCCGAGGGGCGTTCAGCCCCTGCCGGGCCGAGTTTCCAAGCCGGTGCGCGGGTCCTGTCCTGCCTCAGCCTGCGCGCAGCTCGCCCATTCAAAGTCGGGCGCCGCGAGCGCGAGCGGAGCCTCCAGCTCTTACCTTAGACACTGTGAGCGGCTCGCAGTGTTCCAGACCTCCCTTCAGGGTGAAGCCCCAGGGCGCGCCCCCTTGCAGCTGCACCGGGACGTACTGGAAGGACCCAGGCCGGTTCTCCATGGTGGGCTCGGCTCCGGCGGCGCCGCGGGCTCCTTCTCTGCCGGGGCTACGTCGCCTCCGCCCCCAGCAGCTCCACCACCATCGCTCTCCAGCGCTACGCCGCCCGCGCCGCCCTGCTCCGCCTCCTCTCCGGACTGCAGACGCTAGGGCAGCGAGCGAGCCCAAGGAGGAAATGACACGGAGCTGGAGAAGGGGGAGCGAGGGGGAAGGAGAAGGAGAAAAAAGAAAGAAAGGGAAAGAAAACGGAGCAGCGGCGGAGGGGCAGCGCAGAACGCACTAGAAAAGAGAGCGCTGGGGAGGGGCAGGCACTGGGTCCGCGCCTAGGGGATCGCTGAGGAGTGGGAGCCGGGCAAGGCCTCACATCAATTGTTACATTGTTTCATTCAAGCAGGCCCCCTCTTTGGTCCTCCTCTGCGCTGCCGAGGTCCCCGCCCCTGCAGCCTGCAGAGCGAGGGGAGGTTAAAGTCGTTAGTGTGGATGGCCCGCGTGGCTGAGTGGGCTGAATTGAATCGCTCGTTTCCTGATTAGCCTGTAGATGTTTCTCCGACTGCCTTGTTCTTCTGAAGGTCCCAAGAACCCACTCCGGGAGGGCCGGGAGGGTCGCAGGCTGCTCATCTGCAGACCATGCCTCCGGGGCGGAAAGCGAAGGAAGCAGGACCGGGAACACGGTGGGGCTGTGTGTGTAGGCCGCCCTGTGCAGAAGCTCTAGGTGTGTGGGGTCCTTTAGGGAAGGTTGCCCCCAGCACAATGTAAATGAAGGAGCACCTCTGAAGATGCCCCCTGCCCAGGCTCGGCCACACCCCGCTCAGAGCTGGGCTCTGTGGGGAGCGCTGTGCTCCCCTATGTGCCAGTCATCTGCAGCTCCTGGCACGGCCTTGCCCTTGCCCCACTGCGATGATCGCGCCGGGAATCAGCAAACTTTATGACTAGCAGTATTGTCTCTAAACAAACCTACAGGAAAGAGCGTCCATTGAGAGGCTGGGCAATTAACATGCTGTGCCTTTGGGAAGAATCAGCTTTTAGACAGATTCCGAAGCATCTCTGTCCAGGCTTGAGCCTCCCGTTACCCGGATGGGCTTTTAGGACAGACCACACAGCCAAAGAGCAGGTCTGCACGCGAATTTGTGACTGAATCTGCTGCTGACTTCTCAGCCTTGACCCAGACAGGTTAACTTGCCCCTCCTGGTGGTTTCTGTACAGCCACAACAGGGCAGCGAGTTTTTAAAGGGTCTCACGCTAGAAGGGAGAGTGTTGTTGACAAGTCGGTTTCCACTCAACTGGACTTTCTGGCTCTGGCTTGCTTGGTGTCTCCCTGCTTGGTTCTCCTGCAGCTTCTTCCCTGGGTCAGCAAACACACCAAGGCTCCTTCCTTCCAGAGCCAGCTCCCTGCCCTCGGGGTTTCCACTCCTGCTTCCAGTTCCTCACCTGTCGCGGCCTCTTCTACCCTCCGCCACCCGCCAGGCCACCCCGTCCGTCTTTTCTCCTCAGCCCCCTGGGCTGTCTGCCTGGTATGAGCCTGGCTGGACTTTTCATTAACAAAATGGTAGCTTGGGTGTTTGTGGCTGCCTTCTTACAGTCCTTAGAGAAGGTTCATGGGAAACTGCCCCCCATCCTTTTCACATTTACACAGAAAAGATCATTTTTTTCTTTTTTTTTGTGTTTGTTTTTTTTTGAGACAGGGTCTCCCTATGCAGTTCAGGCTGGCCTTGAGCTCACTTTGTAGCCCAGGCTGATCACGAACTCACAAAGATCTTCCTGCCTCAGCCTCCCGAGTGCTGGGGTTACAGGCATGTGCCACCACACCCAGCCTCCAAAAAGATTATCTTGATCATGCTTATTGTTTTGCTTTGTCCTTACTAGAAAGCAAGAAGTTTGAGGAAATGGCATCTCAAAATGTTGACTCTTTTTTCAGTTTGTTTTGTTTTGCTGCCTTCAGTGCTGAGGCTGCAACCCAAGGCCTCATGCATGTGCTCTACCACTGAACAACACTCCCAACTCCCCCCACCCCTTCCCATGCAGCCTTTAATTTTCATTGTTTCTGTCCTGGCAATTGGAACAATTTTTTGATTCTTAATTGTATATCAATCTATGAGATAACATTCATTTGCTCTGTCTTATCTTGAAACTAGCTTTATTTTCTCCCTGGGATAAGATCTCTGATTGAGACTCAGGAGGACTCGGAAAGTTTCGGGCTCAGCATACTGAAATCTGTAAAGTTCAGCTTACAGGATATGTAGTCACCACTCAAGAACTACTAGAATTATGTGTCTAGACTAGAGGAAGGAGATTTGGAAGCAAGAGACACAGATCTGAGCCCCGGCATTGTCACTAACTAGGTGGTGACTTTCGACAAATCACTGAGCTCACTCTTGGGGCCTCCTTTTCTTCTTCTGTACACTTCAGCTATTCAACTCTGGCTTTCCTGCCTCCACAGCCTGATGAGAGGCTGAGATGGAATAATAAGTATGAAAACACTTTGATCAAGAAAAAGTAAAAATCCTCACAAGCTTACTGTGAAGTCAGGCGCTGAACATGCTTTTCTTTCTTATTATTTTCAGTGGCAGGATGGAACCCAGGGCCTCAAGCATGATAAGCAAGTGCTCTACCACGAGCTACATATTGGGCTCCTGAGCTAGGCTTTTACTCTATTCTCATTCCAAGCCTGGTACTCCTGTGTTCTGTTTAGGTTTTTTTTTTTTTTTATCATTGCAGAAGAATATAAATTACCTCACCCCTTATGCAAATATAGGTAGCAGGCATTTTGTGAATAGGGCGACAAGATTGTCCTGCTTCTCTGTGGATGAATATCACTCTTGGATGAATATCTTTCTTGGAAGGACAACTGGATGAAGCATGATGGAGTAGTGGAAGGAGAACCTGAGATACCTAGATTCTAAGCTGATTCTGCCGAAGCTAATTAGCTGTGTGATGTTAAGGGAGTCACTCCTCTCTCTAAATTGAAGCAGTTGAGCTAAGTGTTTCCTTAAGTTCCTCTGTAGTTTGCAAATTGCGTGATACTTCCTGAAAAGTGCCTCAACTTAACGTATGGGTGAACAAAGGCTTCATATTAGAGATGAAACCAGGGAGAATCTAGAAATAGAGAAGGGTTAGGTACTATTTTTTCTCCTTCTCTCAGTGTGTCTGTCTTTCTCTCTTTCTATATTTTCTCACTCTCTCTATGAGTGTGTATGTGGGAATGTGTATGTATGTGTGTGTGTACACTGGAGCCATCAGAAAAATGATGGATTCACTGTAATGTAAAAGACACATTGCCATTAGTCTCACTGAAAATACTCCCTCTAGCTTCAAATACACCCATTATTTTTTATTAGTACATATTTTTGATACTTGCAGTTTACAGTCATCTTAGGGAGTGGGTACACATGCATAATGCAACTATTTTCTTTTTTCTATCCCCATCCCTCCTCCCTCCTCATCTAAATCCCCTTTTCTATTTTTATTCTTATTGATATTATTAATCTTAGCTCATGTTTATGATATATAATGTCTATACACATTGAGGTTATTAGGTTCTTATACATGGTATATCTTTATTCTACTTATTATCCCTTCCCCTCCCACTAGGTACTAGAGCAAAAACAGACACATGAATCAATGGAGCAGAATAGAGGATACAGAAATTTCCCCAGACACGTTCAACTATCTGATCTTTAATAAAAAGTCCAAAAGCGTATGTTGGAGGAAAGACAGTCTATTGAACAGATGATGCTGGGAAAATTGGATAACTGTAGAATATTGAAACTAGAGCCATATCTCTCACCAACTTCTATATTAAAATCAAAATGAATCAAAGATCTAAACATTAAAACAGAAACATGGAACCTACTGGAATATAAAATACATGAAACACTTGAAGACATAGGTGTAGGAAAGAATTTTTTTTAACAGAACCATGATTGCACAAGAAATAGCAGCAAGAATCAACAAATGGGATTACATCAAATTACAAAGCTTCTGTATAGGAAAGGAATCAGTATGTAGAGTGAAGTCACCCATCATTCTTGTCACTTTCTGAAACCCTTCTGGAAGTCATTTTTCAAATCTTTATGATGTGGGATGAAAAATAACGTGAATGCTGCTGCTAAGTGTCATCCAATGGAAAAGCAGGCACATAAAAACATTGAGGTGTGTCCTCATCCAATTATTCATCAAAACTAGCACTGTGCAACTTCTAGCTTTTCCCAAAAGTCAAAATGAAAGGTAAACATTTTGAGTAGATTCAGGACATCCAAGCAGCCACAACAGCACAACATCTTGGGGAGTGGGTATGTGCATATATTCACGAAGCAAAGCTTCCAGAACTGTTTCAGAAAGTGACAAGAATAGTGGGAAAATTGTCTTGGAAGCTGGGGGGGTGCATTTTGTGGGGAGAGTTGTTATCACAGCATTTTTTTATTGTAATAATTTTAAAAAATTATTAAGGTCACCATATGTTTCAAACACATCTTCTTTTTTATTTTATTTCAAAGAGAAATAAAACAATGAACACAACACAGAATTTCAAAACAAGATGATGGAAAATTAACAATGGTTGTTATATTGCATATTGTTACCTTCAATGTAGTTACTCAGATGACCAGATATAGGCATGCAAAATTAATCAAACAATATAAGCACTAACTGTTTCTCTCAATGAACTAATAGAAATTCGTAGTACAGTTATTTTAGGTATCATGTGTGTGTGTGTGTGTGTGTGTGTGTGTGTGTGTGTGTGTGTGTATCTTTTTCCCCTTCCTTCTTTTCTCCTTTCCTCCATCCCAGTTGTTCTTTCCTTTTGAGCAGTTTCTTTCCCTTTCACAGTATCTTCTGTACCTTTTGGATCTTGTTTACTCTTTCAGTTTGTTACACTAGGGAGATAATATGATGTTTACATGTGAGGCTCTGATTTATTTCACTTATGAGTATGTTCTCTAGTTGCAACCATTTATGTATAAAAGCCTCG